CGAGCCGTCAGTGTGCCATTGACCCTAGAAACCCCGCCATAGTACTGTTACTTTGTATATTTACTCTGTAATATTTCCTAAATTTCTTTCATGTTACTCATTGACGTCCGGGAATTAAGATTTTTAAACCTAAATATATTTTATTCAAATTATTTAAAAATGACAATTTTATACATTTTTTGTATTTACCTAAAAAATGGTTTTAAATAGTTTATGTAAATTTTAAAATCCAAAGCGATGAATTTTAAAGAAAAGCAAAAGATTCAATCACCTTTAATGCTTATATGGAAGGAGGAAAAATATCAGATTTGACAGTTACCCTCTTATTTAATTGTAAAAATCTGTGTATGGTACTTGCCTCTTATCGTACTAGGCATGTTGTCCGCAATAGCATATCCTAGTATCCAAAAATTCCTGTCGACACTGCACTAGGTTTCTTTCACCTTTTATAAACCAAGTTCAAAAACTTCACGATTTGTTGTTGTTGTTGTTGTTGTCACAATATTGTTAGTGCACAAGATTTTTAATGTTTCGCAGCACGTGTCAAATCAACCATTTCCACCGCTTTTTGCAACAATAAATCATGTTCCTGTAATTTGATTGCTGACCCATAACCACTTGTGGTCTTGTTCAATTAAAGGTTTAATAAATAATGCACATTTAAAGATTTAAAATAAGGAAAATTAAAAACCAACTTTCGGACGGATAAAAAAATCACAGCTTTCCCGTAAACCAATATATTATTTAAAGAAACAACTTTTCTTTATTATTGGATGAATAAACACTGGTTTCAATAAATCCCTTATCACTAGAATTATTTAACAACACCACCGAGAACCGATATTAGAACGTTTTCGAAACCACTGTTATTGTTTGAAAATGACAAATCAGTAAGGAAAAAATCACTAAATCGAAATTGTTTTTGAGCGGGTAGTTTAGGATTTCGGAATCTCGGTAACGATGGTGGTAGTGGTGGTCGGTGAGTGACTCTCTACCTACGCTGAGAGATCCACAGGTGCTCGTTCTTCTGAATCCCTTATCCCCTCCATCCCCTCAACCCCCACCTTTATCCTTCAAATGCCGTGTAACACTAAGCGGCGGTCACCCTCTTCTTTTTATCACCCCCATTTCTTCTTTACACTTGTCCGTATAAAGCCTTTAATTATTTATTATTGTTTTTCCGCAAAGAAAAGTATTGTAAAAAAATCTTCAATTCAGAGAGGAATTTTTCATTTTTCATGTCAGGAATTTAAGTCTGATTTTTTGTCCTTATCCTCTACTTGGTCCACTGACAGAAATTTTTAGTTAACTATTTAGTTAGTAAAAAAGTCGCTGACTATTTTTATTGTTACTCTTACTATTTAGTTAGTTACTCTAATTTTGTTAGTAACGTAATTAATCAAATAGGAAGAATTATAGAAAAGTATTTAAATCAACTAATAAAAGATAACTAAGTTTACTAATAAAGTTTATACAATGAAACCTGACGGAATGTAACTCGATTTTTAAAATTTTATTGCAGTAAACAATCCTTAAAACATTGTTTTATAATTTAAATTTATAATATTTTGAAACTAAGTGAAAATAATTTTTGTTGGAAATTTTTGAATAAGAAAAAATTTTAAAAATACTATTGCATTCCGACAGGTTTGACTGTAACTCCAATCAATAAATTAGCAGCAGCATAGTTTACTAATTTAGAATAATCTTGGAAAAAATTTTTTCCTTAGTTTTATTGTTCTTTAAGGAAGCATTTATTATTATATTATAGAAACAACATTATAATAAATAATACAATCTTTACACTGAAAGAAGTAAAGATTGACTACGGTTACAATTGAGGGTTCGGATCGAAGAACCGATTACAATTTTTTAAGCTAAAATTCATCGTCAAATAAATAAAAATTTAAAAAGTTTTAAATCATAGTTTTTGGAGAATAATTTTTCGTAATCTTAAAATACAAAACGTTTACAAGAAATTGAAATTTTAAATTCTTTTTTAATTTAGGAGGGGAGGATTTCGAGTCTTAAAAATTATAACCGGTTCTTCGATCGGAACCCTCATTCTCAGGATAATTTTTAGTTAGTAAAATAAGCTGCTGATAATTTATTTATTTAGGTTACAATTTCTATTAGATTATTTAACTATTTGTCTAATTGCAATTACTTTACTAACCAAATGTCTTTTTGCTATGATTCCCTAAATTTTAATTAGTTAAACTAATTTTTTCATTTTTTTTATAAGATAAATTTTACGAATTCAAATCAGTAAGCATTTTTACTCATATAATTTTTAAAAAAGAGATCAGAAATCGCTAAAATCATTAATCCATATTGTAGTAACGGGAGCAAAATAATTTTTTTCAAAAATTAATTGGTTATTTCAAAAGATTTAGTTGGAGACTTTTGACGATTCTTTCCCTAATATTGGTCTACTATTAAAAATTTTAAATTCAATTCTTTGGCATTGATTTTTATGTTCGCAATCTGGGGCCCGATATTTGCATTAATGTGGCGACAATATTACTTCAATCTCACGCCAATGACGCTTCTTTCCACTTGGTTGATACCAATCGATATAAATATATGTTAATTAACATTAAATTTTAACATTTCAGTTCAAGACTTCTCAGTTTATTGTACGTTGAAATGTAAAAGAAATTTCCAATACACTCTATTGTAAATAAATCAATATTCATCCCTGACAGATTTAAATTTCCTTAATAGTATAGGTGTTTTCATAAAAAGAGAAGAAAGAATATTTTGTTATTTAGAATTTTACATACATATACCTTATATAATAATATACATACCTTATATCATAATATTTATTAGGTATTCTAAATGTCATTGAAGTAAATTGATAATTATTGTGCGATAAACTTATAATTACTGTGAAACTGGACTACTTTAAAAGTGAAAAGTGCGTTCTTTTTTCCACTCATTCGAAAGCATCAAACTGATACCAAAAGTAAAGAATTTAAAATTTCTTTCATAAATTTAATACTTCTCAGTGAATTGCGTGTATATTTTAATTAAAAGAAGAGTCAAATATACTTGTAAAAACAAGTAGGTTTATAAATATTAAATATTATAAATAAAAAAGTTGTAATTTGTCTGTATAATTATTAGTAATTACACTTCAATATTGCAAAATTAGACTATTCAATAAATATGCCTATAATTTTAAAATATACATTAATTAATAATTATATTTTAAAAATTTATTTATAGTATACATAATTTAAAACTAATAAATTTACTAATATGTTAAAAAAACTTGAATAATTTTTTAAATTTCATGACATGAAAAGTATATTATTTTTTATATTTATAAGGCTAAGATTTTAAGTTTTTAAAAATAAAATTTACAGTTATTAAGTAAATAAAACTTTTTTATAACTTCATATTTTATAAAGAATAACAAAACTTTTGATGCAACCTTCTGCATTTGAAATAAAATCATAGCATACTTTGTCGTATACTATTTTACCTACCGTAGGTTGTATGGAATAATAATTATTCATTAACTTTAATTTTAAATAATTTTTACAAATTCATTAAATTTACAATAATTTTGTTTGTTTAAAAATATTAATTAAAATTAATTTTTGAAAAAATTTGAAAATTTTATTTTATTCTATTAAGCGTTGGTAAAACAGTTATCATGATTATCTGTAATTTTCTCTCTTCAAACTCGTCTTCTCCTTGCTCGTATTTTATCATTATAAAATAATACGAAAGTAAAAATAATGAAAAACAATGTTTTTTTAATTATTATTTTTACAATAATTCTTAATTAGTGATAATGATGTTTACAAGTTTCGATTTGTAGCTAATATAGATTATAGACTTATGATGAAACACAATCAACATTTTTTTTATAAGAATTAAGATTTTCAAAAATTTCAAATTCAAACCTTTTTAAAATTAAACAACTTATCAAAAATTGATTATAAAATTCTTCATTAAATTAATTACTTTTAATAATTTTTGAAAAATTTCTTTGAAAATTTCCAAATCCTTTTGTTTACAATTTAATTTTACGAAATTTTGTCGATTATTCGAAAATTCTTCAATCAAATATATATTAGAAAATAAAAACTTCAAATAACTTAAAAAAAATTCAATTAAACTTTTTCAAAAAAATTAGTGACTGACTTTTTGCTTTTGAACTAGTAAATTTTACTGTTAAATTAGTAGAAATGACTATCTATTAGTAAAATATTCTAATTGAAAATCAAAAAGTCAGTCACTAATTCAAATTAGAAAAAATTTTTACTAATTCATATTTAAACCAATTTTTATTAGAAAATTCTACGAGAATTTAATTATTTAAATACAAAAATAAATAATTTATTGAAGAATTGAATGTTTTTTAAAATTGAATTCTCATAAAGAATTTTATCAACAAATTTTTAAATAGGTATAATTAAAATTCTTTTGAAGTAATTTCAATAAAATTTTAAAAAATAATTTCACTTTTCGAGAATTTAGATTAAAATTGTATTAAAAATACTTGAATCTCTGTAAGAAATTCTATTAATAAAATTTGTTATTAATAAAATTGAATTGAGAAAAGTTTTTGAAAATAATTGAAATTTTGCCAAGAATTTTATTAAAATTTTTGAAAATAATGTAATTCTTTTAATAAATTTAATTAAAAATGTATTGACAATAATACTTAAATTCTGATAAATAAATTATAGGAAGGCTTTTTAAAATAATTGAATTTCTTTGATGAATTTTAATAAAAAAATTTTTATCAATTAGTACAAACTCCAGATTAATTTTAGAAATGATTTGTGTGGTTAATACTGAAAATTGACGCATTGTATATAGTAAAATCATTAAATTTGCCAATGTAATAGTGTAAAAATGTAATTTTTATTTTCATATGTCACACTTGAAAACAGACCTTACTGACACATTGTAAAATGTTACTGATTGTCATTCACAGTAGTCGCATTATAACTTCTTATACTAAGTATTATTTTTTTCGCGTTGAAATTGTTAAATTTGGCATATAATTGTATTTATTTCTATTATTCTAGGCCGCACCAAGCCAATAAGCTTGTGAATCCATTTAAATTTTAATCCTATTATTTGCTAGGTCAACTCATAATGGAGAAGGCGACATTAGATCTTTGAAAGAATCGAAACAGAGAAGACTTTTAGTTGAAATTTTCACCTGACTTTTAATAAATAAAGTTGACCCATGCGTATAAAACGGTGTGATCGAAATTTCGAAATTTGGGTTCTGTGACGTAGGTTGAAATTCTTTTTAGAAAGTTTGCATTGGAAAAAGGTAACAAAACCTAGTTGAAAATTAAAAGTAAAATCTATTGTTTTGGAATATGAATTTTGAGGAGTATCGAAAGCATGGTAAGTTGCAAGTTATTCTTTTCACGTATTTTGTCCACTTTTTCTCATTTTCCAAATTTCCAGGGAAGGAGATGGTCGATTACATCGCCGACTACCTTGAGAATATTCGATCGCGGAGAGTTTTTCCAATGGTATCACCCGGATATCTGAGGACTATGCTGCCAACCTCTGCACCCCTGGAAGGCGAATCGTGGGAAAACATATTTGGCGATGTGGAAAAATGCATTATGCCTGGGGTCACACATTGGCAGAGTCCACACATGCATGCCTATTTTCCAGCTTTGAATTCACCGGCTAGTTTATTAGGAGATATGCTGGCTGATGCTATTAATTGTTTGGGATTCACATGGGTAAATTTGTATTCTTGTTGCGATAGAATTCATGAAAATATTGTTTCTGTATTAAAAAATGTGATTTAGGCTTCGAGTCCCGTGTGCACGGAATTAGAAACCATTGTGATGAATTGGTTGGGTAAGATGATCAATCTTCCTGAGGATTTTCTCCAACATCCGGAAAGTTCTGGAGGGGGTGTTATTCAAACAACGGCAAGTGAGGCAACATTGGTTTGTCTCTTGGCAGCTCGAACAAAGATCATTAAAGAAATCCAACAAGGTGAACCTCATCTTTCACCAGCGGAAATTAATTCGAAACTTGTGGCTTATTGTTCGGACCAGGTCTGTATAGTTGTGTTTGATTTGTCAATATTTACTTTCAATAAAACATTTCCTTTTCTTCAGGCTCACTCCAGTGTTGAAAAAGCTGGACTCATAGGCTTAGTACGCATGAAGTATATTGACAGTGATGAAAAACTTAGTATGAGAGGACAGGATCTTATGGAGGCGTTGAATAAAGATCGAGAAGAAGGGCTTCTCCCTTTCTTTGTGAGTGATTTCTTATTTTTCTTAATTAGCTCCCGAGTCGAAATTTAGACCCTACTTAGCCTCTGAAAATGTAGGGCCTATTCAGGTTTAGCAGTCGTAAAGTAGGGTCTGATTTCAATACAATTTTTAAAAACTAGACCCTACTTTGACTCCCAAAACAGGCTGAAATTTGCCAATCTTCCATTTGGAGCAGCAAAGGAGGGTCTACTTCTAAGAAACCTATACCGTACTTTTAAACCTCGTAGACCCTACTTTCATACTCCTAGACCCTACAATTAGAAAAAGAAAAATTTGAAGATTTGCCCAGATTCAATTGAAGCACTAGGGATGAGTAAAAGTGGAATTTTATGTGTTTTATAGCGTCTATATACACGAAGTGTATATAGACGCTATAAAACACATCAGTATTTATGAATTTGGAGTACTTTTTGCATTTGCAGTGTTTCAAGTAATGCATTAAAAAATAATTCAAAATTTTCTTTTAGAATGTAGGGTCTAGGAGTATGAAAGTAGGGTCTACGAGGTTTAAAAGTACGGTATAGGTTTCTTAGAAGTAGACCCTCCTTTGCTTCTCCAAATGGAAGATTGGCAAATTTCCGCCTATTTTGGGAGTCAAAGTAGGGTCTAATTGTATTAGAATTAGACCCTACTTTACTACTCCTAACACTCAATAGCCCCTGAAAATTCAGGCTGAAAGTAGGGCTTAAATTTCGACTCGGGAACTGACTAAATAAAGCAAGTGAACATTAATGAACGTATGCAAAAATTATTGTTAAAGGTATGTGCCACACTGGGTACAACGGGAGCATGTTCCTTTGATAATCTTGAAGAAATTGGTCCAGTTTGTAAGTAGAAAAGAATTTGAGAAATGTATGTTATTTATTTGATACATTTAATCAGCATTTACTTTTTCAGGTAAAAATAATGGAGTGTGGTTACATATTGATGCAGCATACGCTGGTAGTGCTTTTGTGTGTCCCGAGTTTAGAATTTGGTTGAAAGGAGTAGAATATGCAGACTCGTTTGCATTTAATCCGAGTAAATGGTTGATGGTACACTTTGACTGTACAGCCATGTGGTAATTATAGTACAACTCAATTCACAAATAAAAATAATTTAAATATTTCAAAATGTTTACCAACTGGATGGATGGTTTGAAAGTCATGAGTTTCAAATTGTTCTCTTTGCTTAAACATTTTTCTTTATATTTTCTAACTTTTTGTAATAAACTATGGTGAATAAGGTACAGTATATGTTTAATTAAATTAAATATCTCCCACTAACTGAAATTTAAAAATGTTCATTTCTCTATAGGGTAAAGAGTAGTCAAGCTCTTCACAGGACATTTAATGTTGATCCTCTATATTTAAAGCATGAAAATTCAGGTAACTTACAAGAAATAAAATTTTAATGAAGCTTATTAAAATATCATTAATCAACTATTTTTGCAGGTCTTGCCATCGACTACATGGTATGTAAATGAAAACTAGTTATAAAAATATAGTTAATAATAAATAAAATTTGAGTTTAATTTAAACTATTCAGTTGCATATATTTTATATTTAGTACTATTGAATTATTTTAGCATTGGCAAATACCACTGTCAAAAAGATTTAGAGCTTTAAAGCTTTGGTTTGTAATTCGAAATTACGGAATCAATGGATTACAGAAGCACATACGAGAGGTACAATATTATGTATTTTGAATATTTAAATATCAATGACTGTAGGCACCAAACTTTATAATTTTATATTTTTTACAGGGAGTTAGATTGGCGCAAATTTTTGAAGGTTTAGTGATGATTGATTCTCGATTTGAAATTCCTGCTGAAAGGCATTTAGGAATGGTCATTTTTCGACTTTGTGGTGAAAATATTTGGACCGAGCGTTTGCTTAGAAAGATAAATTCAAAGGGTCATATTCATTGCGTACCAGCTGCTCTTCATGGCAAATATGTTATAAGATTTACCGTAACATCTGCAAAGTGAGTTTATTGACACTCTTGACATTTAAATTAAAATATGTACTTTTACTAATTTGAAATAATTTAATTTCTCTTATAGCACAACTAATGAAGATATTTATAGAGATTGGGAGGAAATTAAAAGCAACGCAGATGAAGTATTAAATGAAGTCTCTAAAACCCCTCTAAATGGTGAGCTTAACTGTACTCTACAATTATTATTATTAATGTACATTTAATAATTTACATCATCTAATTTGAAAAGAAAATCTACTAAACATTAAATATTTCGTTGAAAAACATGTTTTAGAATCACTTGAAAGGAATGAAGATTTTGGTTCTAGTCTCTTATTAGCAAATTCACCAATGTTTCCAAAAATTGTAGACGGCAGTTTTGCTGCAATATTCAATGAATCAGATATTTTTAATGATTGCAGTACAAATTTTGGAAAAATAAAATTTGAGGATTATGAAAATGATGGTACAAAAAAGTATTTTAATTAAATAAGTAAAGTAAAATTGACTCGTTCAAAGAATTTGTTTGCTTCACGAGAAATTTAATTTATAATACAAGAAAAATATATTAAACTAATATCTTCGATTTTCAGCAATGCGTCGACGAATTCGTGGAATGTTAATGTCTGCTAAACGATTTTCACTCGATTCACGAATGGATCTTGTTCATGTAAGATTTCTTGCATCACTGAAAAAAATATATATTTATGATACTGACATAAATATAGCCAATTCTCACATATTATATTGGTGGATATGGAACTGACATACAGTATTGCTATTTCAGCCATACGGAGTGTAGAACAGCCATATGTATGTGAGATACAGTTATATGTATGTGGAGAACACCAATACTGTATTTTGAGAACAGCAATATAGTATTGCTGTTTCAGCTATACATCCTAACCATACTTGTATGTCAAAATTGACATTATCATTTTTTTTTCACACTTCCACTTAATTTATCAACCATTTTGAAAATGTTTAAAAACAAAGATTTTTCAATGATGCCCGCTATTTTATAAAATTAGATTTTAACTTAATTTAAAATAATTGCACAGCAATAATTAAGAAAATACTTTTATTTAGGGATACACATCCTTTTTTAAACCCAGTACAAATCTTGCTTTGATGAAAGAAGATGAAGACAGCAGTAGTGATAAAAAAATTACTTATTAATAAATTTTATTTTATTTAAAGTCAAAAATTGTAACTAAACGTTAAATAAATTGTTATAAATTATAAAAGAATAAAAAGAGTATTAAAATTGGACAACAGAATATGCATGATTTTTATAATTTTTTAAATATAAATAATTATATTATATTTTCTAAATGAAATTAATACATACCTATACGTATTCATAATATTATGGACAAAATAATAAATTTTATATATATATATAAATTTATTTTATTCAAGATCATGATATCATGACAGTTCTATTCCTCGATTTCACATTTTTAGTGTTTCGCATAATAATAATGCAATTTACAATATTCTCATACCACAATCTTACATTCACGCAACTTAACAGTAACTTTTTAAACTATGATGATTCTTAGATTTTTAAATTTAGGTTGATCAAGATTCTTATATGTGAGAATTATTATATATTGTACACTTTTCAAAAAACGAACTTGAATTATTATACAAACTTAGTATATAATCAAATTGTTACCTGTTCACTGATTAATAACTAAAACATAATTTCAAATCATATTATGCACTTATAAGTGCATATTTTATTTATGTCTTTAAAAAATTTTGACATGTTAAATATATCAAAATGAACTGGATTATGAGCACTTCTTAAACATAATATATAAATTTCTTTTCAATATTATTAACAATTTATATATATATATATTGTATATTATAAAAGAGCAATTTATGTTAAAACATTTGATATAGTTTAACGCTAATAGATAAAAGTCATTTACAACAATTAGACATTTATACCATTGTAATATTCAATAGATTTTTATTTTATCCTACGTTTTGATCGGTGTATTTATAAGTTGATAAAACACTGCTGAGAAACTTAATGTGCGAATAAATGATGTAACGTATAGTGCGTGAGACGCATGCTTATTCCCGAAATCTTTTTTGACCAAATAGTTATTTGATATAAAACTACTTAACTTAAAATTCACATAATATTATAAACATTATTTGACATAAATTTCATTGCACACAAAAACCATTTAACATAAATATCATTTGTCATAGAATTCATTAAACAGAAATATTATGTTACATAAAACTCAGATAACTTAATTCCCATTTGACATAAAAATTATGTAACATAAATTTCTATTGACATAAAAATCATTTAACATAAATTTCTTTTAACATAAAACTCATTTAACGTAAATTTTATTTGTTATAAAATTCATTTGACATCAATATCATTTGGCATAAATGTCATTTAACGTAATTCTCATTTGACATAAATATCATTAGACATAAAATTAGCTTGATGTAAATTTCATTTGACATGAATATCATTTAACATAATTATTATTTAACGTAAAATGAAATTTATATAAATTTCATTTAGCATAAATGCCATTTAACATAATTCTCATTTGACATAAAATTTACTTGACATAAATTTCATTTGGTATAAATCCCATTTAACATAATTTTCATTTGAGATAAAGTTCATTTGACATAAAAGACATTTAACACAATTCTCATTTGTCATAAAAGTCATTCAACAAAATTCTAATTTGACATAAAAATCATTTTACGTTAAATAATAATTATGTCAAATGATATTCACGTCAAATGAAATTTATGTCAAGCTAATTTTATGTCTAATGATATTTATATCAAATGAGAATTACGTTAAATGACATTTATGACAAATGAGAATTGATGTCAAATGAATTTTATAACAAATAAAATTTACGTTAAATGAGTTTTATGTCAAAAGAAATTTATGTTAAATGATTTTTATGTCAATAGAAATTTATGTTACATAATTTTTATGTCAAATGGGAATTAAGTTATCTGAGTTTTAGGTAACATAATATTTCTGTTTAATGAATTCTATGACAAATGATATTTATGTTAAATGGTTTTTGTGTGCAATGAAATTTATGTCAAATAATGTTTATAATATTATGTGAATTTTAAGTTAAGTAGTTTTATATCAAATAACTATTTGGTCAAAAAAAATTTCGGGAATAAGCATGCGTCTCGTAGTGCATTAGAAATTTTTAATTTTAGAAAGATAAATAGATAATTTCATTTAATAAATTACATATTGTATGCAACAAAATAAAAAGGGGCACAGAATATACACACTTTATGAATTATTGGAAAAAAAAAATTTCGAGAAATTTGTAATTATAAAATATAAACAGATAATATCTTTTAGTTTGGCATCCTATTATATATAGTACAAAAAGTTTCTCAGAATGTGCTTTCATGTATTTTGTTAATGTTTATTGAAAAATTAATTCTATTGTTAATGCTCTATTAGGAAGGGTAAAAAATGGTTATGTAGGCAAAAAAGAAAGTAATTGAATTAAGTTTAAAAAAATCTCCATGCAGAACAAGCCACTCCAGAAATGCACTTCTAAACGTAGAATGTGAAACTGAGTTTAGAAGTGCAAAACTTGTAGAAGTGGATTGTTTTGAATGAAGGTAGTTTGCTTATACGGAAGGAAGAAACTTTTTCACTGGATTTTTCAGATTTTAAGAATTTTATTGTTATGCATAGATTACTTAAAGTAATTGATTTGACTGGGATTGTAGTTTTTTCTTCCGTATGAACAAGTGTTGACTAAAAAGAATAAATTGCTGGATATGTTCAACACATATGAATATGATACATTGAGAATCGAAAAGTTAAAAGACAATCATCTTATACAGAGTTGGTAAGTATATAATCGTTCATGGATATAAAAAGCGTCTTGCTTGAACACCGAGGGAAATGTTTAGTAACTAAACGTAAACGTATTAATTTTATTTCCTCACATGGCACATAAACATTCTCGGCTGTGAGGCCACAAACAAAATAGTGAGCCACGTATTATTTTCACGACTTTTAATATCTGCAATAATTCCTTCCTAAAACTAGAATGTCTAGAGAAATAAACAGTTATACACAGCAACTGAGTTCGCTTATAATTTAATTTAAAGCTATATATTGTTGTCTAATATTTCTAAATATGTACGCTCAATCGGATTTCCAGTATCACATTTTCCGATCAGCTCATCAAGTTAAAGCTACTTAAGCGTATAACGCATAAAAAAAATTACTTAAGGCACTTACATCACTTGAAAGAATTATCTATATAACAGTATTTTAATCGATATGTGTTCAACGTACTGTCTCTGTACCATTTAAAATCGCAGACTCTTTTCCTTCGAGAAATCAATATTGATTTGCGCAAGATGTCACGAAAATTCTTCTCATCAACAAAACGAAATCTTGAAACGTCTCTTTAAAAACTTCTGTTGGCCTCACAACCGCGTGTGCTATAATGAACAAATGACACAACACGACCGCATGGCCTGCCAGAAAAATCTCGCGAGTTATAGTGTGCAAATCGCGAAATTTGCATGGCAAAAGGCTTTTTCGAAAAGCCTTTCTGTGAGGACATGAGCGTTCATTTTAGCCAGTATTCGCTTCTCTTTCACCTACTGGAGCTAACATGAAGGCTCACGTTGTGCATTTTTCAATTGTTTTAATAAGGTGGAGGGTGGAAATAAGATACTCATCTTACAGAATGTCTCAACTTAATTCAAAATTACAAATTATATGACACTGTACATATTTAAAATCATTAACCATTATGTTGCTAAAGCTTTATTATGGGATATAGCTAATCAAGTGACAATCTTTAAGACGAGTAACATAATTCAGAAATTTTTATTCTACAACAATCATGTCGCAAGTATCATTTTATTCTGCAAGCAGTGATTGAGCTGATATTTTGTGAAAAATAGCTATTTTATCCAAAAAATATTGTTAAAAAGATCAGATAGTGAGTAACACTTTTCAAATTAATTACAAAACATTTGAAAATTATTGAAAAATACAAGCGAATCAACATATTATTTTTTCCACAAATTTCCAAGTGTTTAATAATTAATTTTAAAAGACGAAAAAATGTTCTGCTCCTTCTAATCGTATTATCCACAAAATAACAGCATTTATCTGTTAGAACTTTCAAGATGTCAAAGTCGATGCGATTTTTACACTGAACTTCAATGGAATAATCGAAAAGACTTTGATATCCTTTAAGGACAAAAGTGTCCGTCAAATTAACATTACGTCTTTTAATGCAGACTCACCAGATTAAAATGATATTGAGGAATGTTTCTGTGATGAGTGCTAGTAATAACATTATCATATATTCATGCAGTCATGCAATGCTGTTATTAAGTAACTACATTATTTTTCAACTATATCTTTTCACTACTAAAACATTTATCTTTCAATTTTTATTTATTATAACTTTATTTCAAAGTATAAGAAGAAACTTAATAACAATAAAATTTATCTTTTGATCTGGTCTGGTAAATAACGTAAAACATTAGATGTTTTACAAATTTAAAAATATTAATTAGTCAGTAAATTATGCTGCTGCTATTTTGTTACTTATTAATAATAATTATGTATAAACATTTTATTAAATTTAACAAGTAATCAGTTGTTTTAATCATTAACAATAAACTGAAAAGTTGTAACATCTAACAAAATCATATTAGCTGATGAAAAAACTTTTATTAATTTATTAATAAAAATACTCGATTTTTACTATTAGTTTTCTAAATGAACTTTTCTCTATATTTTATTATAGTTAAACAAGAAATATATATAGATTTTAAACATAACTACTATATCTATAAAAAATTTACTTCTTATAAATTATTACTTCCAATCATGTTTTATCGATTTTTTTTAATATTTAAATTTATAAACTTTTATTGAGAAATAACTATATATAAATAATGCTGCTTTTTAAACAGCAAAGCATTGTAAAGTTAAAAATCAGACTTATGTTTGAAATAGAACCGCTTACAAAATATAAATTTAGTTTTTAAAAACATCGTTCTAATGAAAAGTATATTTAGCATTTCCATGTCAACTTAGAATTAAATGTCTTTATCTACGCATGCACATTATTGAACGGTAAACGGGTAAACACTTTCATTTAATGTCAAATAAGAATATAAATATACAATGAAACATCTTTTTTATCCTTTTTAATTAGACAATTTTTGTCCATGTTTCTTCATTTTTCATTGTCATCAATATTTATATTAATAAAAGAACAATTATTATTATATTATTAAAAGAATACAATATTGGTGGGAAAGACATGCGAAGGTGGGTTTAAATATCACTGCACAAAGAAACATCTTATTTTATAATAATTATATAAGATATGTACTTTCTAAGTTACTTTTAAGACATTTAAAAAAGTGACTATAAATTTCCTAAAATACATTAATTGTTTTAATTTAAAATAGTAAGATGAGTATTATTTTTGGCAATTGATTTTTAGTCACTTTAAAGATATTTCTTTTTCGCAGTGATAGAATTAAATTATTATAAAAAGAGGCGTTGCATGCAAAATAAATAAATTTTTTACTTCTACTGCAATGTCAATAGGTACACAGGAAAAAAAAAGTCTGACTCCGTTTACACCTTAAATTCAGCCTCAAAAATTGGCTGAAAGTAAAACTTTTTTTTTAGTGTGTAAAGAGAAAAAACCAAGGGAAAGCAATATACATCTGCATAGGTGTAGAAAGTGATTAGTTCAGTATAAAATTTCTTAACCTATTATACCATTTTGCCATTGTGTATAATTATAATGGACTTTCCTCCCATAAACGCATTTATTTCTATTTAAAATAATTGTCTAATTATTTTTACAAATGATTCGTGAGCGTGTCACCAACATTTATGGGCATAGTTTGGCGAAAGACAAACCGACAATATTAATATGTTTCTCATATTTGACAAGTATTTTTATACTTATTGTCTTTTATTTCTATACGCAGCGTATATGTATAATATTAAATAATCGAACTTACTAATAATAATGTCTTATTCTCGAAAGTATAATATCATTTTGGCTCGTTAGTCAAAGTCAATTTGGGAAAACACATTATTTCTGTTGAAGACACGCATCACAGCTACAATGCAGCTAATTGGTGGGCATGCTAAAACACGCCGCGTGAATATCATAGATAGAACCAAATTATACTTCGAATTTGTTACTAAATTAAAAAGAACAATGCTCTCTACATCTAAATTCTCTATTCACCGATTCAAGTTTTAAGTGTTTCTACAAAGTATGGATGAAATTAATTTCAAGAACATAATTGCGAAGAATATCGACAGAAGCACAATAAATAATTAAAGTAAGTTTTTGTTTCAAAAATGTAAATAAAGTTTTAACTATAAAAGAGAATTTTTCTCTAAAGAACGAAAAATGAAGACATAAAAGATTTTAAACATTAATTTCATTAAATGAAAGGAGAATTTTCTCATGAGAAGAAAATGTTTTAACATAAAAGCATGTCAATGAAAGTAAAATATAATTGTTACTAATTTTAAGGACATAAAATTTCACCTAATTTGTTGCAATATTAAAAACCATCACGTGACCTAACGATTACATTCTGTTAAAATGAATTTTCAAGTGTTAGACAATAATGCAATTCATATTAGGTCATATTTTATGCACTTTTTAAAAAGTTTTCTTCTAAGTAAAACTATTTGAAGTAAATGTTATTTATCACATGCGACATTCATCTCGCTAACACGCCTCTTGTATATATGTATATTCATATTTTTTAGGGGGTTCTACAAAAAAATTAAAAAATCAATAGGAAAATTTGATAATCACAGCGACCTACAAAGCAAGCTGGGCAATTTTAGAGCGGAAGTTATTGTCAGAATGGATGACAGGATTATCGGGAAAACAGAATTTAAGGATAAGGACGGAGGCACACGATTGCACATATCTTCCTCACAGAAGCACATGTGACCAGTGCCGGTACTTTCCATCATGCACACATGGTCCACCATAAACAAATTTATTTGCAGCTGTGACGTGCAAGTTCGACGAACACTTTCATATGCTGTAAACAAATTGTAACAAATCATTTTATTCCTTAATTAGTCTTTTTCTGTAAAATTCTTTTATGTCTAGCAAATTCTAATATATTTTTTTCAATATGCTGGAGGTGTAGAGAAACTTACGTGATTTAGCGTTGCGAACCATCTTAACGCAGCAACCATTGCAAGTCATTAAGGGTGGTTGATCTCTTGGAAGCGCCGTGTAGTTGAATGGATCTTTACACCGAAGATCAGTCCAAGAATCACATTCGTAGCAGTATATTGAACGAGCTAATTTTATCAAACAAAAATATTTTAGTATATTGCTTCATATTACCTATAATCCTGTTATGAAGAAATTAGTTTTAGCATCTGAACAATGTCTCAGAAATTGTCCTCAACTTAAAATTTATTGTTTTGAAGAAGTCTAGATCAGACAACTTGATTTGTAAATTATCCCAAGTCAGTAGAAAAGACTGGGGTCAAGTTATTTAATCCGAAATCTAAAACATTTTTAATTTATTTTATAGTAATGAATGACTCACTCTGACATTCCCCACGACAAATGTTTGCAAGTGCGAGGACTATTGCCACTGAAAATTTAATAATGCTGGTATAAATAATTGTCAATCAGACTGTAAAAACAGGTGTCTAATTGGTGTGTCGAATTCAATAATTCGATCAACGCTCGGACGCAGGCTCTAATGCCAGTCGATTAGCAGCGAGCGGCCCACTGCTAATTGAGTGGCATTAAAGCGTGCGTCCACGCGCTAATCGAATTACTCAATCTGGAGGCTCAATTTGATATCTGTTTTTTGCAGCAAACTCATAAAATCGTATGCGATGAAAATTACTATGTACAATGATTTATATACTTTTAATTCTACGTGTATCTACTTCTATGTTTATCTAGAAACTCACCGTAACGTCACAAAAGTCTTATAAGTTACTTAAACTAAAATAAATGTTATGTTTGAATTATGTTATAAATAATTAATGATGTTAAGAAATATACTAGAGACAACATATTATTAATTCTCCATTGAAAGAAACGATTGGCTAAGAATACCATTTATGGATACTTGGTAAAATTACGCTGCTGATGCATTAATGGTTTTCTTAATTAATCTCACGATTCTTTCTGCTTTTCATGATGTTGTGTAAAAATACATTAAAAACTACTACCTTGAAATTTTGAATATTATTTTGAATATTATTTTCAATGTTATTTTCAATTCAAATATTTCATTTCAATATTTCATTTCACTTTGACTTTCAAAAAGTTAGAATGTAGAATTTTAAGAAATTATAATATAAACATTTTTACCTGATATTATATAATCTCCGGCCATTTTGAATACAGGGTTTCTGAATTTAATATTATTTTTCACATCAATGATGGCTGGGGCTTTTTTACATTTTGCATTTCAATTAAAAATGCTTTCGTACCTTGGAATAAAAATTGATTTCTATTTTATTACATTTATTTACTGGATTAAGACAACTTAATAAAATTCATCATTTCTTTATTAAAAATCATTGCAAAATTTTCCAGTTCTAAACTTGATAAACAAGTTTTGTCTTAAAAAATGAATATTCAGAAAATTGTCTTACTTAATATTAAAGCAATTCAAAGATGTTATAGTTCACATTATAAATATGCAATTCAAGAGTATACAAAGTTTCAAAATTATATAATATTTATCATTAGCAATTTATTTTATGCATATTCTGATTAGAATAGATCGACATATAAGAATGAAAAATAATAAATATGGTAAATTTTTTGAATAATCATATAAATCGTCTATACGGAAAAATTCTATTCAACAAAAATTTTCTTTGAAAAAAGCTAATAAATCCATTGACAAGCAGTTAACTAAAGATTTGTTTGATTCAATCGATTTGTTCAGACAATACCAACTTCTGTTTTAGAACGAAAAATTTATTAAGCAATGAATTTATTAATTCATTAACAGTTTTATGAAAATAACCTAAAGTTTATTGGTCTATACAAAAAAAAATTCAGTATTTGATTGAAACATACTTTTTCTGTGAGTGATTAAACACACTATGTAGATAAGAAGCAAAATGTTTACAAGCAAGAGAAAAAATAATTTCCAAAATTTTACAAAATATTTTGAACTCTTGGATATATAATTATATTTATAAAATTCAGATTCTTGAAAAAAGTTTATATTTTCAATACATACTCAACAGTTTAGTTACTTTGAATAATTTTCCATTTTGTGTTGCAAACATTTCCAACATTATGTAAAAGATTTTTATAAAATTTGAAAATTAATTTTTTTGCGATTTAAAAAACTCTTGATTATAATTTATTATTAATAAATTATGCATATTATGCTTTATAAAACAGGAAAATAAATTTCTGCATTTTTTTAGTGGCAAATGTATATTATAACTATTATATGTAAGAATCATTTATAAGCTTTGAAATATTTTCAGAAATTATATTTACTACACGCAGCTTAAGATGCAAAAGAAAAAACTGAAATAAGGTTTCACATTAACTTACATAATAACGTCAATAAGTGTCAAGACTTCTGTCGTGACCCATGAGTGCTATTCGTATTTGAATTATCAAAATCATTTAAATACTATTGAAGCAATAATTACATGTTGCAATTTGGCGACAAATTTTATCAATAGTTCTTTCTATAAATGGTCTTGTACCGACATTTATTGAGTATCAATATCTTGCAATTCACCTGAAAATTTAAAAAAGATTTGTAATATTTCCTCATGTTTAAATATAAATTAATTGCATAATTTAATGTAGTTTATCTTATTTCTAAAAAAGAAACACTATGATAACAAATGAGTAGTTTATTGAAAAAATTAACATTGTTTTCAAAACAATTTCAAACTATTGCGAAAACGTGTCTAGGAAAGAGATTACGAATAGCAGTGCTGCTAAGATATAGTAATTTTTGCTGTTTAGCAAATTTAAGTATTAAAATTGTTAATTAAACTGACATTTAGAATCTTTATTGTATTGTTGAATATTTAACTTGTTAAACTTATTTTTTATCACCCTATTTTACACTTGACCTTTTCAACTTTGTGGGTAATTTAAATTTTTGTTAAATAGCAAAAATTATTATTTTACACCCAGAAAATAGTAATTTCATGCTAAGAAGAAAAATCCTCCTCTAATTCTTTCAAAAAAAGTCCACTTGATTGTAGAATGTTTTTATTCTTTTTAATTCTGTTAAAATGAAAATTACTATTTTTAGGGTGCATCAATGAAAACCAAAAATTATAAAATGGGATGCTTCTTTCTATAATGTAATATTAATGTCTTACTTCTCCATCTGATTTTGTGAAACCCACTACAAATGTTGAAAGTATGATAATAGAATATGTTAATATTAGTTGTTATTACCAATTATTAAAATTTACGCAACATCCATATCCATCATCGGAAAAAGCAAGAGAATAATTGCAGAATTTAACATATATTATAAAATGAAATCTAAATAATCGTAAAAAATGTTCTATTCGTGTATGCAATGTGTCAATCATACAATAGGTGTATGATACAGTTCCGAACAAAGGAGATATTTTAATACAAATAAATAATTGAATTTGAAGCATTTATTTGTTTTAATTATAATCAGAATACTATGACCTACACAAGTATCTTTATATTGTTCCTACCATGTTTCTTGTATTATAACCACTATACATAATGTACTCTCTGAACCTGAATTATTAATTTTTTAATTAACGAATTATTAATTAACGAATTTACCAATTAAATAGTAAAAATTTTATTAATTTGATATAGCACAATATCTATTAACTGAAAAAGTAAAATGAACTATTCCAACATATAGACATTGATAGATGTTGTACAATATCAAATTAGTAAAATTCTTACTAATCAATTGGTAAACTATTTAATTAGTAAACACTTTTGGTAAACTCTTTAACTACTAATTGAGATTTAGAGACTACAGGACATACAAGAAAAGATATTCAATGTAGCTCACCTGTCAAATGTTCCCATGTCGATAAGTTACATGACACAAATGTTTTCTTTCTCAGTTTTCAGTCAAAAATAAAAACTCTCAATGATCGTGTTAAATAATAAACAATTGAGAATACAGTTTATGATTTCGTTAATCAGAAATTGTAAGAAACACTAAGAATGTTGAGTATTTTGCAAGACTTTTCGTGAATTTGAAAGAGAAAGCTATTTAACGAATGATATGTTAATGGGTTGATAACTATTAACAAGAGACTCTCTCATTTTTCTCCATTTTCATATTGCCAATTGATATCAGACACTGCACTTTTGTGACACTTAAACAAAGTGAAAAATTTGGCACGCGAGAGCATTCTGAATCAATAAAACTTGACTGCAGTGTATCTTTAATGCGCAAGCGCAGTTCAAGCATTAAAGTAAGGCATGTATATAGTAATAAATCATTTTTAAATGTTTACAACTATAGATAAAATATAATTTTATTTTCCATATTCTCTTATGAATTATAAATATATAATTATTTAAAAATTTATAAAACATTTAGTAATTATTTATTTATACATAAATATGAGCTCCCGGGTAGTAGGGTCACGCATAAAATTCTGATGAACCTTTTAGTTGGCACTTGACATCCAAAAATTATTTTAAAAAATATTTTTTTATTACTTTTTTTATAGGAAATGAATTAAAATTTAAAAATAATTAAAACAATTTTTTTTGAGGATAATTTTTTGATGTTAGGGACCAACCAAAACCAGCCGCGAGAATTTTATGCAGAGGCTCATATGTAATATTTATTTAAAAATAATGTTTTTCAATAAATCTGAAATCGTGCAGATTTTGTATGGCGTTTTGAAGAAAAATACGCCTGCATTTTTAAAGGAAAATTCGTGTAAGAAATTCTCTCATATCTTTAACTTAGAAAGATTAAGAACGAATATTAAATTCGAATTTTGATTAAATATTTTTTAACAGGGTAAACATTTTTCACTAAGAAATTTGGACGATTTTCCGAAAAAAATCGTACGAACTATTTTCACCTGACTGTAGACTTTGTAATGAATAATAAGACACGTTTACTGTTGCATAATCATGTTTCTGTATAATCCTATTTATTAGAGTAACAATATTACCCTAATAATTCAAGTTTTATGTAGTTTTAAAAATATGATTCATACCTAACTCGGACATTCAATTATTCATTCATTCTAATGATTATTCAAAATTGTATTTAATAATGGTACATTCGGTTCAAGATTATATGGAACACATATTTAGGAGTCAACAATATTTTTCAAAATATGTTCAAAGATATTAATTTTATGTATTAATTTAATAATAATAGTAAATAGTATGTAATAGTAATAGCAATAATAGTATTATTAACAATAATAATAATAATATTTAAAAACGGTTTTTTCAAATATTTTGAAAAGTGAGCATAGATAATATTTCATGACAACTTTTCAAAACAGAGCCGTTAATTGACTGGGAAAGTGATTTTGAACTTTAAACTTTTTCTAAAGTGATTAACGGTAAATTGTTTGACTGATTATTCCCAGCAAACACGTTACGTAAGTGTTACATAACAAATAAAGCCACTTGTTATGTCTCACTGTGACAATATTGTTATGTAACAACTACATAATGAGATAGTAACAATATTATATAACACTGTTACTGAATGGTGATATAATAGTTACATAATTTTTTCAAATAACTATTATATAACTGTGTGATATATTCATTACATCACAGAGTGATAATTTTTGTCTTGTTAGATTGTTCTCTAATTGTTACATAACTGTTACGAAACTGTGTGACATAACAGATACATAATTTTGTTATAATTAATAAAGTAGGTTACATTATTATATCACACTGTGACAATATTATTATGTAACCATTATATAATGAGATAGTAACACTGTTATATAACACTGTTACTGGATGGTGATATAACAGTTACATAATTTTTTCAAATAACTATTATATAACTGTGTGACATATTCATTACATCACAGAGTAATAATTTTTGTCTTATTGCATCGTTCTCTAATTGTTACATAACTGTTACGAAACTGTGTGACATAATAAATACATAATTTTGTTATAATTACTAAAGTAGGTCACATTATTATATCACACTGTGACAATATTATTATGTAACTATTATATAATGAAATATTAACACTGTTACTGGGACGTGATATAACAGTAACATAGTTTCATAACATACGTATTATACAACAATGTGATACATTCTTTTAAACTGCACTTAAATAAATAATAGGCAGAATGTGTTTTTTACATAGGCAATTTTTTCCTAAAAACAAAAGCAATACACGCAAAGCAATTGCTTATTCTTTTTAAAAAGAAATTTTTGCTTTAGTTCCTAAGGTTAACATAACAAGGCAAATTTTAATTTTAATATTTAGAGAATACTGTATTAAATAATAAATTTATTTATTCCAATATTCACAACTAATCCAATGAAGAGATTAAACCTTATAAACAGAATTAATATTATATATATATATTCATTTTTACTATCGTGAATATAATGATAATGTATTTTTATAGTTTATTATTTAAAAATTAAAAAAAATTATATTTTACATTTTTATTAATTATATGTGACGCGATTTGAAGAAAGGGAACTTAGAAGCAAAAAATTGTAGGCTATGTTTGCAATTTTTTAAATGAAAATACAAAAAAGTAACAACCGTCAATATAAATAACTGACATTTTAAGTCTTTATTACAACTAAAATATTTAAAAACAAATTATTTAAATAGCAAACATGTTCTGTAACTGTTACGTAACATTTCTGTAGTAATAAGAGCTAAATTACGTAACTGTTATGTAATTTTTATGTAACATAAAAGTAACAATGTTCTGTAACTGTCGTTACAAAATTGTTACGTAAAATTGTAGTCTCTCTGTTACGCAATAAAATTATGTAATTGTTACATAACTGTTATGTAACATGAAACACTATTTTATAATTATTGTTTCGAATAAATATTTTTTATTATAAATCTAGTTTAACTGTTTAAGTTTATTAATTTACAATAAATTATTATTAATAATTATTATCAGTATTATTTATTATAATTATTAATGTCCAAAACTTTTAAAGAAGTACGTAAAAGTAAAGTGGGGTGAAGAAGCCGACTTTTGGAACATTTTACGATATTTAATATATCACTCACTTTTAATTTTATTTAAAATTTTTTAACGTACTCTGAAAAGTTTGACTATTAAAAATTTAAAAAATATCTTAATTTTTTTTGTAAAAAGTTGTCAGAAATTAATAATGAAAAATTTTTATTTGAACAAATTTATTTAAAATTAATTTAAAGTTTATAACTCTCAAATTTTATGTGAAGAAAAATAGAATTTTCAGAATAAAATAAAAATTTGTAATCCCGATTAGTATAATTGTAATCGTTTCTTTTTGTTACTCACATGTGTGTGACATTGTTATGTAAATGCTACAAAATTGTTACTTATATGTGTGTAACATTGTTACGTAAATGTTACAGAATTGTTACTGAACACTGTGACTAATGTGTGGTAGATATTTTTATTAACACGTTAATCGTATATTACAAATAAAAAAATCACAAGTTTGTCTTTGTTACGTAATAGTTACATAACAGTAAGTAACAGAATATACGGCACTGCAGTTGATATAGTAGATTAGGAGAATTCTCATCCAGCCTTCAGTGGCCGTGCGGTTTAAATGCGTTGCGTCGGGTCGTCAAGGGCGGGGGGACGTGAGTTCGATCCCACATGCGAGCGGATATTTTTCATTCTAAGCGTTATGTAAAATAATAAAATTACTATTTAATCTGTATACAAGTGTTGTGAAATGTGAATAAAATAAACTTGTGAACATGTTTATAAATAATATTAAAGATCTGTAAAAAAATCAAGTTTAAAAAATGTACTAATTAATAAATCAGTTTTTTACTAAAATTATTTTTGGATATTACCATGTCAAATGGCATTTGTTATTATCTATTGAATAAAAATAATAACAATAATTTTCACGTAGGTCATAATAGTGATGTTACAATTATATAACAAGCTCATCAAATTATGTAACAGAATCTCATAATTGTGATATAATAATAAGTCACAACGTGATATAAGTGTGATATAACAATTATGTAACATATTTACATAACTGTGATATAATAATAAGTCACAACGTGATATAAGTGTGATATAACAATTATGTAACATATTTACATAACTGTGATATAATAATAAGTCACAACGTGATATAAGTGTGATATAACAATTATGTATCAAATTCTTCTAATTATGTAACATATTTACATAACTGTGATATAATAATTAAATATCACGCTGCAACATAATTGTTATATCACCCTTCTTGTAACAATTATGTAACTGTGACCCTCATGTTACGACATTTCGTGTCACATGTTCATATCATGTTATATCACGTGTGATATTCTGTGACATAACTGTTACATAACTGTTATGTAACAATGTTTGCTGGGTTACATTGACACAAAATTGGAGTCAATGAAAAACAGTTTAAAAATAATTTTTCTTTGTGTGTCGTAGAACGATAATAAATCATTGGCGGTTCATTCGAATTAGTATCAGTAATATTTCAGTGAAACATACCTAACCCTGGAGTTGGGTCACGCCTCCTGCGCACAATCCAATATCAAACTTTTCTTCAGTATTCTTAATACTTTCGTTTAAGAAGGTTTAAGATAGAAGTTTTATATCTTGTTCAAGTAAACAGTTACTGTATATAAATCAATAACAATAGCAAATTAACAATAATTCTTCACTAAAAAGTGTTATAAAAATAACAAAAAAGTAATATTATCAATATTTTATATTAAACTTTGATCAAAATAACTTTTTTAATAAGAAAAAATATTTACTCTCATCATTAAAATTTGATTTTAACTTCTTTGTTACATTTTTATTTTTAATACTAATTGCAGTTTTTATGCAAAATAACAAATACTTTTTATTTTACTAAATTTAATTTATTAATTCTCAGTGTTGTCTTTTTTTAATGTGTTACAAGAATAACAAATCTATTTATAAATAATAGTCTTTTTCTTTTCAGGTTCTTAGAAAAATTAAGTATTTAGAAATTAATAAGTCTTTTTAATACTATTTTATACATTAACTTTAAATAATTAGAAATGACTTTAAAAATTATGAAGTGTTTAATTCGTTCCTTCACGAGAGATGGAACAAAATTCTTCAACTCCACTGTCAGATGCGTCTCAAGTGTTCCAAAAATGAAAGTTGTTCAAGGAATGAATGGAGAACAAATTATTCAATCTCCTTATGAGAATGTGCCACTTCCGAATATAACTTTACCAGAATATGTTTGGAAAAATGTGAATAGTTACAGTAATAATGTAGCATTGGTACGTTTTTCATTATTGAAAACTAGTTTATTATCAAATGGGAATTATAGATAATAAATTGTGTCTGTTTCATAACCATAGGAATGTGGTCTAACTGGAAGAAGATATACCTACGGCGAAGCACGTGACAATTGTAATTATATTGCGAGGAGTTTGTCCAAATTGGGAATTAAGAATGGAGACATTGTGGCGCTTATTTTGCCGAATTTGCCAGAGACACCTATCGCATTCCTCGCTTGTTTGGAAGCAGGTGCAATCGTAACGACGGCAAATCCCTATTATACTGTCGGTAAGAGGACAAATCATTTCACTTTTCCGAAATTTTAATTCATTTCCAATAAAAAGGCACAACTTCATAAGTGAAAATACTGTCTAGTCATTTAGTTTCCGCAACTCACTCTGCTGATAAATATAAGTGATAACAATTTACTCAATTGCGTCGAACAAGAATAAAGTCCAAAGATTGAAACTACATAAACTCAAAAGAGAAAATATATCTTGATCAGCAGAGTGTTCTAAATATTTATTTTCATTTTATCAACACGTCTATTAATTGCTAGTTATGAACTTGGAATATAATAAAATTTCCACCTCATTGTAAATAAGTTGTGCAGTATGTGCAAACTTGCAGAAAAATTTATGTAAATTTTCATTGAAAAGTTATCGACGAAATTTGATTAAAAAGTATGTAGGTACTTTATGAAGTTCATTTCTAAACTTTCAGGAAAGTTGTGGGTAATTAAAATTCATTGTACTATATGCATAACTGAAATATAGGTGCTATGAAAAACTATACTGATGTGTAGAGTTTATACGTATAAACTCTTTAGATCTGAATAAGTGAGAATTCACTTAAAATACGTTAAAAGTCTTTTACGTAAAAAAATAAGTTTATACATATTTATGGACTTGTGTATAAATTTGAATTGGCAAAGATTTCTAAACAAGGAATGAAAAGACTTTGCAAATAATAATTCAGTAATAACTTAATAACTACCATTCAATGACAAACTTCTGTTAGAATTTCACCGACAATCAGTGCATCTGTTTTATTGAAAGTCGATAAAATAGATTGGCTAATTAATTTTTTGAATCAGACAACTGGCAATAAGTAATATACTCAAGAACACTAATTGGGTTTTTCTTTTTTTTTATACTGCATGACCATTAAAATTGTTTTCCCGACTTTCAGCGTTAACGTCAACTTCAGGGAACTGAAATTGGCAGACTTTTATTTTCACTTTCATTTCCCCCTTTGATAGCTTTACATTTCCACTTAAAGAGATTTATATTTTCCCTTTTACTCTGATAGATTTTTTCACTTTAATAGTAGAAATTTTTTAAGAAAAGTAAAAGTGAAAATAAAGTACTATGAAAGTGAGAGTTAAAGTGAAAGTATAAATCTATCAATGATGCATTCTAAGTGAATTTCCCCTAAAATTATATGTATTGTGCTACCTGGAAATGTACATTTAATTACTGTTTAATTATATAGATGAATTAAGCAAACAGCTTTCCGTTGTTTCAAAGAAGCTTTCTGCTGTGATTACTTCGACGGAAATTGCCTCTACTGTGGCTACAGCTGCAAAATCCGTTTTATCTGACAATTGTCCATTTATTGTTGTTGACGATGGGATACAATCAAGTTTCGTAAAACCAAATGCTCTAAATTTTAATGTAGGTTTGTAGATCTGTTATACTACATGCATTCATAAATGTGTTTATCGCAATAATATCGCGAACAGTGTTGATCTCAGATAGTAATCTTGCAGCAAACATACGTTGCAACATTACTGGAAGCTTACATGACAACTTTTCAGAAAAATTTGCTATAAAAATTTGCTCTGGAATAGAACACTGCCGTGCGAAACAAAAACTTAATTAAGTTACTTTGTCGTTAAGATGGATTTTTGTCGATTCTGTGTGAATGTCACCCCCATTGACAAAGTGAATTAACTAAGTTCTTATTTCGTATGGCAGAACAAATATTTCACACAGAATCAATAAAATTATTTTTTTAGGATTTAATTGAAATGGGAAAAACACTTCCACAATTACCGTCGTCCAGCAGATCACCTAAAGAAGTATCGATTATTCCCTTCTCAAGTGGAACAACAGGCCTTCCAAAAGGAGTAATGTTGTCTGATGAAAATTTAGTTTCCAATTTAGAAATGTTATTAAATACAGCAGGTGGTGAATTCTTTACCAAAACAGGTAATAAGCTACAGGTAATATAGCTACATTAAACAATGAAAAAAAATGAAAAAAAATATAAATAACGGAAACAATATTTTAGATGAAGAACAAGATGTATTTCCAATTGTGTTACCAATGTTTCATATATTTGGAATGAATTGTGTGACATTCTCCAGACTTGCAGATGGTGCAAAATTAGTCACATTACCAAAATTCACACCTGAATCTTATATTTCCACTTTAGAGAAAAATAAGGTAATACTGCAATTTACAAAGGTTCTCGCAATTGTACTCTAATTGAAAAAGATCTGAGCGAAACAACTCAAACAACTGTTTCAGTCATTCATGCAATTCCTCCCAGTAGCATTTAATTTTTTATCTTTTTATAATTTTTGCTTCTTACCCCCAATCATCAATTCTACAGCGTTATTGTATTATTTGTATATTATATTTTTAGGTTACTGGATTATTTTTGGTTCCTCCCATCCTTTTGTTTCTCACTTCATCCACCCTTGCAAAAAAGCATCACTTGGATCATGTAAAATTTGTTTTTAGTGGAGCGGCCCCCCTTAGCGATACTGATTTTGAAAGGTTTATGGAAAAGTTCGAAACGTCTATAAAATGTTGTCAAGGTTATGGCCTGACGGAATCGTCTCCAGCAGCATTTATTGAAATGTCTGGAAAAAAGTATGCTAGTATTGGAAAGCCTGTTAGCAATTGTCAGGCGAGATTAGTTGACATTGAAACAAAGAAAGATATAAGTAAACCTCACAAATCAGGTGAATTATGGATCTCAGGACCTCATATTATGAAAGGTTACTTTGATAATGTTGAGGCTACAAAAGAAACATTGGAAAATGGTTGGCTCAAAACTGGCGACGTTGCTTACTTTGATGAGGATGGTGATTTCTTTATTAGCGACAGAATAAAGGAACTCATCAAAGTTAAAGGTTTTCAGGTGAGTATATTTTTTTTTTTTTTTTTTTTTTGGGAAAAATGAAAATTCACATTCTGTGGTTTAGGTGGCTCCAGCTGAACTGGAGGGTATTTTGCGAACACATCCTTGCATCGCAGAAGCTGCAGTGATTGGCGTTAAAGATGCTAAAGCGGGAGAGCTTCCAAAGGCGTTTGTTCAACTTAAGAAAGATAAGGAAACTTCCGAAGAGGAAATACAGAACTTTATGAAAGGAAAAGTTTCCGAATATAAAGAACTACGAGGTTATTTTTATTGTACAGACACGTTTGCACGTAACCAAGTATCCTGTAAGCTTGCACTGCAAGTTTCCTGCAAGCTCTATATCTGACTCTTTTATTTTTTTAGGAGGTGTTACTTTTTTGAAAGAAGTTCCAAAAAGTTCTACAGGAAAAATTCTACGCTCTAAACTGAAGAATAATTTGTAATATAGTGATGTGAAAGCAGTACTTTAATTTAATACCTACTAATTAATCAAAATTTACTTACATTTCTGATCTTCTAAACACACGTTGTTTTACAAAATGTTAATATTGTCTTTTTAAAATTTTTTTTTAAAATTGTAATACTGTAAATAGTATATTTTTACACAATAAAATATATTCTTCTTTACATATACTGTTATTCTATATTCCTAAACCCCTTAAGTGTTCATTTGATTATAAAAATAAAATTTGCTGAGAAAAAAACGTTTTCTCTTTAATATTAAAATGAAAGTATTTTTACTGCTACATAAAAGATCAAGAGATTTGTCTGAAAGTTTACCGCCTTTTTAATTTTCGCCTAGCGATAATAATTTTATTGGTATTATATTTCTTACAGATTTCAGAAAGAAATTGCTACTTTAATTTACTAAATAGATAAGATTTACTTTAGCAACTTTGTAGATATCCCCAATCGAGTTTTTCCTAATGCCTTATTGACAAGATAACTTATCCATTAAAGAATAAATCTTCTGCTAGAAGATTACTTTCTTTAATTATTAAAGTGTTTTCTGAGAAAACAATTTTATTAATAACTTAAAAAATGTTGCCCACTCAGTCGAATTTGTCCTCCCCTTTTCTCAGAACATCTTCACAATCTAATTTCAGAATTAAAAATTTTGCTGTCAACGTATTTTACTTAGATTAGAATTAGAATTCGATTTTTTCAGGGACCGTCACGGAATCAAAACAAAATTAAAAAATACTTTTGTTTTGATTCGGATATGGGTATCAGAATCAAAATTAGTCTCTATTCAGTTTTGATTCAGATAACCGAATCAAAAATCAATGTTGTTTATGTTCTGATTCCAGTATCAAAATCAAAATTCCATTCTATTTAGTTTTGATTCCAATATCGAAATCAAAATTCCACTCTATTTAGTTTTGGTTCCAATATCAAAATCAAAATTCCACTCTATTTAGTTTTGGTTCCAATATCAAAATCAAAATTCCATTCTATTTAGTTTTGATTCCAATATCGAAATCAAAATTCCACTCTATTTAGTTTTGGTTCCAATATCAAAATCAAAATTCCATTCTATTTAGTTTTGATTCCAGTATCAAAATCAAAATTCCATTCTATTTAGTTTTGATTCCAATATCGAAATCAAAATTCCACTCTATTTAGTTTTGGTTCCAATATCAAAATCAAAATTCCATTCTATTTAGTTTTGATTCCAATATCAAAATCAAAATTCTTTTTTGTTTTAATTTTGATAAAATACTACTGCGCATGTATAAGTCTCATTGAACCTAAATTTTGTTGCAAATGTCAAATATATCAGAAGATAATATCGTTTTTACATATACGAAATCTGAAGTAGAATTCGAATCGACTTCTGTTTCTATAAGAAAACCGAATTGGAGTATTACAATATCAGAATCAAAATAGGACCTAAATTTTGTTTCGTTGCAGTATCAGAATCAAAATAGAAAGTAAATTTCGTTTTGTTACAGTATCAGAATCAAAATAGAAAGTAAATTTTGTTTCGTTACCGAATCAAAATCAAAATACATTAATAATTTCGTTTTGTTTTGAAATATCGTAACGAAATCAAAATTTGATTTCCGTGACGGTCCCTGGATTTTTTATTTGCTATAAAATGAAAATTTGTCTCTTTATGTTTATACATACATATTTAAAATTATATTTGTCCGGAATAAAAAATCTAGTAGACGTTCGCTTTTCTGACTTTTTCACTCCTTCCTCTAAGTAGTTTTCTGATAAACCTCGGTCCTTTTCTTCCATTCTTTTCATATAATTGCGCTTTCTCTTTTTCTCCCATTCTTTCTTCATTCTATTGCCGTGCCATGCCGTGGCGCAAACCCCACCCCCATTTAGAAAGGGAGCTTGGAGCTTGAGCTTCAGTCGTCCGCGCACCAGCGGCGAGTCCGCCACCTTTGGCTCATCTTTTACGTAATCTTGCACTTGCCATTCATTAATTCGCTGTTATTTACAAGAGCAACAATACGTCTTCTTCAAAATGTACGTACATATAATAATAATTATTTATTTCCAATATTTATTTGAAATAAACAACTGATTCTGAATGCACAAAAAACATTTATCTGACAACTTGACATATTGAATAAATAATTTATGCATATAATAAAAATAGTCCTGTACAAAAAATAGTAACAATAAAACTATGCATATGGTGCACGAGAATGCACTGACAGTGTACACAATGTCAATACGCGAAACCCAATATAAACAAGTACATATATGCATGCATCGCGATTTTCAGAAACACTTGTATTTTAACTAAAATTAGTATAGAATATTTTCATTAAAATTTAATATAATTTCGTTAAAAAATTTTCACTTTATTATTACTACTTTTTAAATTAATATTACTTATTTATACATATGAATATATTTGAGTTCACATCTCTGTGAAGATTTAAAAATAAATGTAATTATTAATGAATGATTTGAGTAACGTTTTATACGAGTAAATTTATTATCAAGTCATTAAATAAATAATTTCAGTAACAGCATTTTTATTGGAGAAATTCGAGAATTAGTACATCTTTTAAGAAGCATTAACTATTAAGCTTTAAGAAGATTAACGAGACTGCGTTTTATTTTAATTAATTGTTGTCTGCATTTTAACCTTCTAATGAAAAGTATTTTTATTCATATAAAGAAACTGTTATAATCTGAACAAGTAGTATTATTAAACAAAATATTCAGTTCTAAATATAATGTTAAAACAAATGTTAAAAATAAAATTACATTACATTTTCGAAAAACTAATAAAGAAACAACTAATTTTAACTGTACAATGCATACTGTTTTGGCAATTGTCAAAATAATAATTAAATCATGAATTTCGAAAAGGGCGCTCCATTATGAAAGCGAAAAGATTCATTTTTACATAACAATAAATATAAATAATAATATAAATCTAATAAGGGGGTTGATTCTGAAAGTCAAAAGAGTCCATTTTACATAACAATAAATATAGTGAAAATGACTTTTACTATTATGAAAGTTGAGCCCCTGTTCGAAATTCCCCATTCAATTATATTAACTTCTTTTCTTTATCATATTTCTCATATTTTTCTTATTCATAAAAACTTGTTCATTCAATGGAGTAAAAATCTTGTAATCTTTTATATTTAATGATCTTTTTTTCGTTATATCGCTTTTCAGATTTTTTCAAAATATAATTTTTACTTCGTTTGCACAAAAAAATTAATTAATACCTGTCATTTATTTCATAAAATCATCCATTTTGAAAGGTTGGAGCTTTTTTAATATTACCAGCATCCTGGCCTGGAACTCATATTGTATGTAATAGCTCAATAATGCAAAAGTATTAACTTTACTATATACCTTTATACAACGTACTGTGTGTGGAGAAAATTTATTAAATTTTCATTCTCTTGAATTTAGTCACAACTAAAGCAACAGTCATACAATATTGACATATGCTTTAATGTAAACTATCGCGATATGATGAAAATTAACAATTATAATTCAAATTCAATGAGTTTCAGTGTATATTAATACATAATTTAAACATTTACTCTTAATGAAATTAATGTAATTTATTAACAATAGAGGCTAATAAAATATTTCTCATTTTTTATATAGAAATCATTTTACGTGTTGACAATTTAATTTAATTTAAAGATAGGAAAATAATAATTCTCTTTTTATTATATATTTCATCAGACTTTTTGCAATATGCTATTTTTATTTTTTAAATTTTTATTTGAAAACATTTTTTCATACTACATAGAGAAACGAGAATCTGCCCCGAAGCTTAAAGTTTTCTGGCTATTATTTTTAAAACATGGATTCAAATGTTATGTTAATTTATACGAAGCAGTAACAAGAGAGAGATTTATTTAACAAACTTCTTATTTGAGAAAATTTAAATTTTCTATCCAAATTACAACTTTTTTCCACTTTTGTATTGGTAGTTTTTAAAAATTCTTATGTAGTAAGTACCCTTTAACAGTCATTAACCGTAAGCAATTATTTTTCAAGTAAAAGAAAAAATTATTTCAAAAAAATCCAAACTACTCTTTAAATCTGAATTTAGTAAAAAGTCATTAGTGAAATGACAGAAAGTCGTTCACCAAACGATTCAGCAATAATTTTACCAGCAATCGGTCAAATTTTACTAATTGTTAGTAGTAGAATTTTACTAAGAATTAGTCATTCTGTTTTATTAAAAACAAATTTGATGTTATTTAACAAATCAAAAATATTAAATCTGAAAAGTATACTGTACAACTTTGGTAATGTTACAGCAAGGTTAAAATGCAAGGTTGCTGCAACCTTTCCACGCACTATTATGACAATGTTACAGCAATTTTTACTGTACAATGAAACTTTTTTTAAAAAAATAGTAATTTCTACTATTAGTATAAATCAGTGTAAAAAACTAGGATTAAATTAAAAATTAATATTTCTTATAATGTAAAAATTACATGATACTTCTGTATAAGTAGCAGTATTTTAATGTAATTCTTACACGATAAAAAATATAAATTTTCAATTTATTTCTTGTTTTTTGTACTGATTTAATTTACCATAATATGTACTTGGAGACAGCTCACTTTAAAATGTGTTATTCAAAACTGTTACATGAATTCATTCACTTGAAGTGAATACATTGTAATAACACATTTCGATTTGTAGTGTACACAGGGCTTATACCTATTAAACTTTTATAGTTTTGCTTTAATGTACATATAACTATTATGAACTTTAAACTTTATCTCAGCTGAGGTTTTTCTTTCTTATAAAAATCTTCAAAATACGATCATTTAACTTTTAATGACAAAAGTTTAAAAGTAATAATCATTGGATTTTGTTCCTAGCTATTTGTAAGGAATTTCAACGAATTTGTTGAAGGGATTTTCTGCTCAATTTACAGATTATTTTGATTATACTATAATAATAATAATAATAATGATAACAAATAATAATATTAATAATAGTAATAACAATAATAATAATAAAAATAATAATAATCGTAATCATAATAATAGTAATAATATATAAACTATTATATTCTTCATGTCGTGAATTCTCTTTCATGCATCCCCAGGTTGCACAATCTCTTTTATGAAACTTGACGTGATATCATAGTTTTTCTAAGGTTACCAAATTGAGACAAAAAACAAATACATATATGTTTTTTGTCATCTCAATTTGATATCCGCAGAAAAACTCTGATTGCAAGGTAAGCTTGGGAATGTTACTCTGCAATAATCAAGGAAGATTTGAGAAATATTGTAAACTTATTGAAAAAATATTATACAAAAAATCTGAAGCAGTATTGTCAGGTAATATCTAGTCAATACTCAATATTGAGGGAATATTGCTCTGTGACATAAAAATTCAATTAAAGAATGTAAGAAAAATGATAAACAACTGCTTTAAATTATCTTAAAGTTGTTAAGCATTGTTAAGTTAATGTTATCCGAATTCGCTAACTTTTATGATTCGATTGCGTCTTTATAACAGCAAAAGTCAACTATTGAAGCTTATGTGCCCGGTTGCCAAAAGCAGCCCTCTCTAAACAAAGTGAATTACTGCAAATAGACACGTGGTTCTACATGTTAGTCAAGCAGTGGAAACCAAACTTTTCTATCACCAGTAGAGCCCATCCCAATTTTTGAAAGCCCGTTAGGAATGAGTGTATAGTGCCTCTTTGGCCGGAACAAATATTATAATTGCAGTATTTAAGAATTTGAAGGTAAAAAAATATGTTTCTGGTATTTATAAAGTTACCTACAGTAATTGTACAGAATAGTGTTCTTATCTAGTAAGAATCATCCACAAAAAAATGAAGAATATGATTAAAGAATTTAAAAGAATTTTATAATTTCCCTATAATAACATTTGAGTCCATTGTGACTTACAATTGTAAGTATCTTAAGATACTTCAACTTCTTTTCGGTTTATACAAAACTACAAAAAGTTCTCTTCCATAAGTTCCACTTTTGTTACGTTTTGCTTCTGTCTATTTAATAAAACAGGGGCAGTAATAAGGCCAAATCATACTGACTTTTTGTCTCGGTATACAAAATTATTTTTACTTCGTTGATTCTTGCAATTTAACATTCACTGAGAAAATATTATACTTAAAATGAAATAATTTTAGATGCTTTTGTTTAATTGAAATTAGTTTATAAGCTTAACCTAAATATATAATTACATAGAAAATATCTACTGCTTTGATATTCAAAAGTGTTATTTATTTGAATAATTATATTTGATTCAATCATATATTCTGTTTTGGTTTAAACAAAAAATATGTTTGATTCAAACTTAAAAGTTGATTATAAATGATTTAAAATCAATTGTAACTTATATTTGAATTAAATATATTATTTTAATAAATGAAATTAAAAAATATGTTTCAAATAAACTTAAATATGTTTGTCTGTAAAGCAAAGATATTTTAAGTTTGATTTAAACAAAATCTGTTTGAATCAAATAAATTTTTTTCGTTGTGTTGTTTCAATATTTTCCATGCAGTAATCAATTAAATCAAACATCAAGGAAAATGTGAAATAAAACACATCTTTTAATTATAGGTTCTAACTAGGAATTTGAAATACAGGGACCAAATCAGGTTATGAAACGGGGCCTTATCTTATCTCGCATAAGATTAAATAGAAATGTTTAACCTATTCGCCGTTATTAGCTTTCAAGGTAAAAATCAATGTATATTTTAATGCAATAACAAAAAGTGTACTTTAATTGTTCAAAACATTAAAATTTTCACAATTTTTATAAACAGCATACTCTCTAAACCTGAATCAGTAAAATCCCACTGAAAATCAGTGAAAGTTGACTGAAAATTAGTGACTCTATTCTCGCGATTTCAATCAGGGAAATTTTACTGAAAACCAGTAAAAATTTCTGGAGTATCAGTCGTTTTTCACTGATAGGCTAAATAACAAATTACTGGGATTTTCAGTCACGCATGTTGAAAATTTAAGTTATTTTAGAAT